TATACTATAGGTCTTGGTGGTTTGGGTAATCATAGTAGTTTAAGAATAAGTATTGCTCTAGTTTAGGTATCACTGGATTTGTAGCCATACTAGTTTAAGTACTGTATTGTGGTGCTTGGATTACGTTACTGAATACTTTTTTCATTAAGTCATTTGTAACTGTAACAGAATACATTTTTTTAAAGTAACCCTTCCAAGCCTGAGTATCAGTATTGTTTAGGTATCTCTGGTTTAATGATACCAGTTTAGACTTCAGTATTGGTCTAGTTTATGTGTCATCAGTTTGGTTTTAGAAGAATGTCATGAATAATGGTGAGTTCATGTTCATGTACTCCAGCTTTAAGTTCATGCAGATTTCAACAAAGTCTGACGCTGCATGTTGCTAAGCTAACAGAATATTCTAAAGGATGTTCACACATGCAGTAACTTGCAGTACAATTTTAATGAGAGTATGACAATTTCCGAAAACATGAGCAACAGCATCTGTTAGCAATGCAACAATTCAAATGCACTGGTGCAACGCAAATACTGTCCTTCACTACATTTTTTTAACGTTTGCACAAAATTTGTTAAATTTTTTTTTACAAATTTTCATTGTGAAAAAGAAGTGTGCTTAATTGTAAGTGTATTTCGAATCTTAAAAGTATATTTTTTAAAAACTATATTTTACAGATAATATAGTAATATTAATGAAATAAAAGTCCATTTGCGTGTACTTAAAGAGACTTTCATGACTGTGATTCTTAACACATTTAAGTACATTACAGATGTGTAATTACAATTATATTTAAGACATACAAGTTTCAAAAGAAATGGCATTTTATTTTAGTTTATCATAAATACTTGTCAGTACATACAGCAGTAGCTAAAACATATTTCAAAGACAACAGATTTAATAAATATGTAATTAAGTCCCAATTAAGTAAGAAAAACACTCTAAAGTTAAGCTAACTGCATTTAATATAAATGTAAAATATAATGCATTTTTAATTTCAAATAGCATGCAAGTGCCCAAAAACATATTTTTTAAGTACATGTTATTTCTGTATTAAGTATTCTTTTTAAAAGCATGCTTAGGAGTATTTTTTCCCCACAAGGTTTTACTGTTGCATGACTAATTGTTAAGTGTTTAGTTCTAGATAGGCAGCACACTAGGTTTTGAGCTCTTCTCTCTGTGTTTCAGGTGGCGTGTCAGTGGCAGTCGAGAATCCTGTTGCTCCTCCGCCTTTGTCATCTTCTGCCTTCTCATCTTCCTCATCATCTTCCTCTGTATCTGATCGATGGCCACCAGAGAGGCCCCGCCCACAGGGCCTAGGACCCAATCGCAATGCTCGGATCCCTCCAAGAACAGACCTCCCATTGGACAATCAGCCTGTGTTTGTGTGGCGAAGAGGCGCGCTGACAGAATGCACGGCTACCTGTGGAAAAGGTCAGAGAATAGAAATACATTTTAGAATGAGCGTATTAGAATGATGAAGGATCATGTGACACTGAAGACTGGAGTAATGATGCTGAAAATACAGCTGCGCATCACAGAAATACATTACATTTCAACATAGATTCACATGTAATATTATTTCTCAATATTACTGTTTCAAATAAATGCAGCCTTGGTGAGCATAAGAGAAAAAATCTTACCGATTTTACTCAGCATGGAACTACACTTCGGATTTTACAGCAGATGACAGCACACATTACTGCTTTGAATGGCTCTTCTTTAAACCTGTGATCCAGAGTGGACGTGGTGGATTAATGCTGTGTTTATTTGTAATAGGAGAGCTGGAAACACTCAGAGAACATGAACCCATTGCCTACTGACATATAAAGAAAGCCAAGCGCTGTGGAACAGGGCGTGCATGTGCCAAACTGTTCGGGAGTTTCGCTGTAGAGCTGTGTGTGTTTTTGAGGGGTTTCTAAGCTGCTCACTACTGGTTTTGATTAATCTATTAGGCCCAGTGTGAATTTGCACTCTGCCGCCTCCTTCTGGTGTGTTTAAAGAGCTGCAGACTGACGTTGTGTACTCTTGTTAGTGGTGTTTGCTTAGGCAAGCAACATTATTACTATTGCTAGTTCACCCCAAATATTTATCAAATGTGCTCACCCTCAGGCCATCCAAGATGTCGATACATTTAATTCTTCATCGGAAGAGATTTGGAGAAATGTAGCACTGCATCACTTGCTCCTCTGCAGTGAATGGGTGCCGTCAGAATGAGTGTCCAAACAGCTGATAAAAACATCACAATAATCCACAGCACTCCAGTCCATCAGTTAACATCTGGAGAAGACAAAAGCAGCTGAAACAAATCCAGCACTAAGACGTTTTTAACTTCAAACTGTTAATAATATATAAAATTATATTAACGCTTCCTCCAGTGAAAAAGTCCATCTTGTTGTTTCTCACATCAAAATCCTCCACATATTTGTTTAGAGCTGTTTTTGATCTGTGCAGATTTCTCTCCTGATTCAGACCAGACTTAAGTCTCCATTTTTTACTTAAGAAAAACAATATTATGGATATAGAGGACACATTTCAGCAACAGTTTGAAGTTAAAAACGTCTTAATGATGGATTTGTTTCTTTTGTCTTCTCCCGATGTTAACTGATGCACTGGAGTGCTGTGGATTATTGTGATGTTTTTATCAGCTGTTTGGACTCTCATTCTGACGGCACCCATTCACTGCAGAGCATCCATTGCTGAGACACTGATGCAGTGCTACATTTCTACAAACCTGATGAAGAAACAAACTCATCTGCATCTTGTATGGCCTGAGGGTGAGGACATTTTAAGATGATTTTCATTCTTGGGTGAACTATTCCTTTAAAAGAAGAAAAACCCAAGGACCAATCACCCAGAAGACCTTGCCATCGAGTTTTACGCCACTCACTACTAAAAATGTATTATGTGTGTGTTTGCTTGTTGTTTGATGTGTGCATATGTGTTTGTGTGTATTCAGGCTCTCAGTACAGAGAGATTGTGTGTGTGAATCGACACACAGACCAGGACGTCCACGAGAGGAGGTGTGACTCTGCAACCAAACCTGCGCCGGAGGAGGAGCCGTGTAACGTTCATCCCTGTCCACCATTGTGAGTAACTCTGCTTGTGCATAAACTACTGTTCAAAAATGTGGGTTCAGTAAGATTTCTTTCTTTCTTTCTTTTTTTTGAAAGAAATTAACACTTTTATTCAGCATGGATGCAATAGATTCATCAAAAGTGACAGTAAAGACATTTATAACATTACAAAATATATATTTCAAATAAATGCTGTTCTTTTGAACTTTCTATTCATCAAAGAATCCTGAAAAATAATCAAGTAGTGATGAAAATTCAGCTTTGCATCACAGGAATAAATTACATTTTATTGTTTATTCACATCGAACGCAGTTATTTTAAATTGTAAAAATATTTCAAATATTTAGTGTTTTTACTGTATTTTTAATCAAATAAATGCAGCCTTGATGAGCAGAAGAGACTTATTTTAAAAAAAAATCTTACTGACCCCAAACTTTTTAATGGTATGTGTGTGTATATATATATATATTTCAAATATTTAGTGTTTTTACTGTATTTTTAATCAAATAAATGCAGCCTTGATGAGCAGAAGAGACTTATTTTTAAAAAAAATCTTACTGACCCCAAACTTTTGAATGGTATGTGTGTGTATATATATATATATGTGTGTGTGTGTGTGTGTAATTATTACCAACTATTACAGAAACATTCCGGGTTAAATGCAACGTAAGCTCTGTTGACAGCATGTGTGGCATATAACTTTTTATTAAACACTGTTCACATGGAACAAACCCAGGAATTACATCAGTAATGCATAAACAGAAGTTCATCCATCTAGAACAGTAGTAACTTTTACAGATTAAACATGAAACAATTTTCTGTAATCATGCCTGTAAGGGCTTCTTATAAAGCATCAGATTTCTGCTGGTCCACATCCTGCACCACAGACTTACTGCATGAATGTATTAGGGTTGCTGTATGGGGTTTGTATGAGTATCTCAGTGAACCTGTGTGTGTGTGTGTGTGTGTGTGTGTAGCTGGGATATGGGCGTGTGGTCCGAATGCAGTGTTTCCTGCGGCTGGGGTGTGCAGCAGCGTCACATACAGTGCAGGCAGAGTTTTGGGAATCGCTCAACCATGGTTCACCCTCAGCGCTGCGCCAGTCTCACCCGCCCCAACGCCACGCAGCCCTGCCACCCGCGCGTCTGCTCACACTGGGAGATCAGCACCAACTGGAGCACGGTAAGACACGCATGCGTGAGGAGGATTATAGAATTGTTTTTATATTGGAGCAGCTGTGGGTTTTTATTAGAGTTAGGGTTAGGAGTTTGCACTGTCAAACCTTCTCAATACAGTTGTCATTAAACTCCTTTCCCTTGTGCGTCAATTTAAAAAAGTTTAGAGGACAAGAAGGACATTAAAAAGGGGAAAAATCATATTAATATTTTTTTTCCACTTTCACTGACATAGATTAGATCAGTCCTGATCATAATTACCATTACCAAAGATGTCTGTTTTTATCATTCATAATTACCAAAATGCCTTTTTTCACCCTTTAAATGCTGGTTTGTTTACATAATACCATAGTTTTTGGTTGGTTTTTATGAAAGATAATAATTAATTAATTCCAATTCATATACAAAATGTGCTTTTTTTATTATTACTACAGTCTTGGTTAAGTCAGTGATTTGAAACTACATTAATTTTGATGTATTATTATTTTTTGTGCAGTGTCAGAATTAAAACACACACATTTCTCAGTACACACATACAAACCACACTCTGATATCCGTTCCCAGTATACCCACATTTTTTTTAGTAGAAGCAGAAAACAGGAACAAAACAGGCATTTGCTCCATAGTTAATAGGAAACAGCTGATAATAGGAAAATAGTTAAAAATTAAAATAAAAACAGTAACAATTCTTGAAAGTGAAAGCCTATTAACAAAGAATGCTTGATTTTATGCTTCAATGGCACTGGGAATAAATATTGCCGTTTTAATAGGTTTCATTTTAATGGGAAACATTTTTGTCCTTAAAGGGACAGTTCACCCAAAAATGAAAATTAGCCCATGATTTACTCAACCTCAAGCCATCCTGGGTGTATATGACTTTCTTCCTTCAGACGAATACAATCTGAGTTATATTAAAAAAATATCCTGGCTCTTCCAAGCTTTAGAATGGCAGTGAATGGGTGTTGATATTCAATAGTCCAATAGAAGTCCAATAAACTGCGTCCATCCATCATAAATCATTCTCCACTCGGCTCCGGGGGTTAATAAAGGCCTCCTGAAGCGAATTGATGCGTTTTTGTAAGAACATCATCCGCTGGAACGCCACTCTCTCATAGATGCATGTACGGGTACCTCATGGTGTCATTTTTGGGTGAACTATCCCTTTAAGGTCCTGACTGTAACCATTTTTGTACATAGTGTAAAATAGATTTATGAAAGTAAATGAGGGTGAAATATTACAATTACAATTTTTCTTTTGCCAAAATGTTTGCTGTTTGCATTACCAGCCAAAAAAAAATGAAAACGACAAAAATGTCCCTAAGGATGCACAAGGGTCAATGCTCCTGTGCAGCTGTACAGATGCAGATGGATGTTTTGGGCGCTGCATCTTGCACAGTTGCACAGTCAAGCATTGCATTCTTAAGAGGCTGCGTCAAGTTAAAAATAGTCCAACTTTTAAAAATGTGTCTCGTGAATCGTTTCATACTGTTTATAAATGCAAAATGTTTTCTTGTGTTAATTCCTCCTATGAAACGTGTTTTGATATGGGTCCGATGAATCCAGAATAGTTCATCCAGGCTAGTTGTTCAGGCAACCCACTGACTAGCCGATTTAGACAATATGTGGTTTTGTTCTAGTCTGTAAGTGTGTGTAAGTCTGGTCACATAGACGTGTTTGAGCTGTCTGTGTGTGTATAACTGCTTGTTTTCTTTAAAAAAAACACTTGCTTCTCTAATCTTTTTGTATTCTATCTTTGTTTTCTTTTTATTTATTATTCAATTAACAAAAGCAAAAAAAAGGCCTCTAACACTAGCTTTTTCTATTCTATCTGTTTTATTTTTATTTATTATATAATAATAAAAAAAATAATAAAAAACCTTGCTACGTGTACTGCATTCAGCTGAGACTTGTTATCGCACTGATATATTGTTGTTCTTTTGTTGATTTTGATTGCTTCTATTGTTCTCATTTGTAAGTCGCTTTGGATAAAATCATCTGCTAAATGACTAAATGTAAATAGATTCGATTTATTTAGATATTTCAGATTATATTAATTTATTAAAAAACCTTGGCCCTCTAACACTAGCATTATATCTATTTGTTTTATTTTTATTTATTAAAAAACAAACACAAAAACCGAAGAAAAAACATGGTCCTCTAACAGTAGCACTCTCTATTCTATTTCTATTCCATCTACTTGTTTTCTTTTTATTAATTAAAAAACAAACACAAAAACCAAACAAAAAATATATATTGAGCCTCTAACTCTAGCACTCTCTATTTTTTTATTCTATCGACTTGCTTTCATTTTATTATTAAAAAATGAGCCTCTATAACACTAGGGTTCTCTATTCTTTTTCTATTCTATCTATAGAAAATATATATATATATTTTTTTTAAAAGCCTTTGCTATGGGTACTGCGTTAGGCTAACCAAGACTTTTTACAGCACTTAAATATTGTTGCTCTTTTGTTGGTTTGATATTGCTTCTATGGTCCTCATTTGTAAGTCGCTTTGGATAAAAAGGGTCTGTAAAATGACTAAATGTAAAGCTGCATAGAATAAAGATGAGTAGAACAGAATAAAGCTAAATATAGAACAATGTTGAATATAATAACAGAATAGTACAGAACAGAACAAGCCATTTAGAATTAAGTTAGAATGATACAATTAGAACATTCTCAAATAGAATAATATAAACTATAATATAAAAAAACTAATAAAATTGAATATTAAATTAAATAGAAATAATTAAAAGTAATAGAACAATATATAAAGAGATAAATAGAATAAAATAGAAGTTAATATACATTTTAACAAAATAACAGAATAGTGCAGAACAGGTAAATTAGGATAAAGTTTAAATAATTCGATTGTTATAAAAATATAATAGAATAATATAGATTAGAATTTCATCAAAGAAAACCAAAATGGCTAAATCAATAGAGCTAAATATAATAGAACAGTGTTGAAATAAATAACTGAACAAAACAGAATAAAGCTGAATAAAATTGAACAAAATTAAATGTAGAACAATGTCAAATAGAATAAATGAATGGTACAGAACAGAACCAGTCAAGTAGAATAAATATAAAAAGTATATATAAAAATATAAAATAATTCAATTGGAGTGTTCTAAAACAGAACTATGTAGAATAGAATAACATCAGAGGAAACCTAATCAATTTAAATAGAGCAAAATAAAATATAATAGAAAAATGCTGAATAGAATAACGATGAATAGAATGGAATAAAATTGAATAGAATAAAGATACATAGAATAGAACAAAGTTAAATGTAGAACAATGTAGAATAGAATCAATTAAAATACAAAGAATAACATTGAAAACAACATAGAATAAAGATGAATAGAATAGACTAGTATGGAATATAATAGAATAGTCCAGTAAGCTGTCATGAGAATGTGTTGGCAGTCGTCACTCTTGCCAAATTTACACTGCAAAGGTGGCACAGAAGCTCTTCTGAAGTGGCATTTAAGTGTCTTTACACAGCCTGTTTAATGCTGCTCAGAGGTGGCATGAATGCATTTACTCAGCAATTACAGCTGTATACCTTGATACTAGGGGCTGCAGTGGGTCTCAGCAGGCATGAGTTAGTCTGGCTTTTATGCAGCATTGCACCGTCACACTGAATTCTAAGCAGGTACAGAGCAGCCTTAGCTCGGCTGTGTAAAGACACCTTCTGTCTCTGGACTCTCTCTGTTGAACAGTGTAATGCAGCGTGTGGAAATGGCACCCAGCGCAGGGACATCATCTGTGTGAGGAAGACCGGAAGTGACTTCACCGTGAGCGCCGCCAGTGAGTGCTCACACCTGGAGAAACCGTCTCCGGTGCAGCCGTGTGAACTGCAGCCCTGCAAACCGCAGTGGTTCACCACCGAGTGGAGCACGGTGAGGACGACTTCATCTGTCCTGCGGGATCTTCCCTTCCTCTGCTGTCACTGACTTCCCCTCTGTGTCTGTCCAGTGCTCTCGGTCCTGCGGTGAAGGGGTGCAGACGCGGGAGGTGCGGTGTCTCACTGCTGACAAACAGCACAACACAGCCTGCGATCTGGACTCCAAACCTGCCCACGAGCGCTCCTGCAACACCATACCCTGCAGTCCCTTCGAAGGTGTGTGTGAGAGTGTTTTACATTCTGTATAATGATTCAGATTATAATCTCTCTCTCTCATCTCTCTCGTTGTAGATGAGAACTGTAAAGACAGACGACATAACTGCGTAATGGTGGTCCAGGCTCGACTCTGCGTCTACTCCTACTATAAGACCGCCTGCTGTGCGTCCTGCACCCAGAGTGCTCAACGGGCCAAAAGACATTAACCCTGCACAAGCCACAGAGAAGTTAGGTTCAGAGATTCACCACCGGAGCCCAAACTCAGCCAATCATAGTTCAGCCAATCAGAGGCCATTCAGGTTCAAAAGGAATTCCAGGAGAGAATTCCGACTTGAACTGAGCTGAGATCAGGGTCCCTTTAAAGTGAAAGTTTTAAAATGTTATCGCATATGGGCTCATAGTCTCAAATGATTCACAGTAGCTCTTTCCCCAGAGAGAGCTGTTTAGTACACTATACTGTCAAATACTAATCCATTCCTTAAATGATCTTTAAACAAATGCACTGACATCGCAGGTCCACATTCTGGACACGTATATGAAGATATTGCTAAGTGGGAACAATTCTATAAGTTGCTTTTGTGCTTTCGTCACACATGAAGTGTTTCATAACGGTTTCTTTTTAATTGCAAGTCAATGGATACAGAATCTGGTATTTGAACCAGTATTCCGTCTCATTTATTCAGTTTATGAGTTGTGCGACCAAAGTATGATAAAACAGATGACAAGCATCAAGCATCAATTACACACCTAATGTGCATCCTTCACTCCTAATTATGTTGTATTGGCACTAAAAACCTACTGTTGAAAAAGAGGGGAAAATATTATATTTTCCAATAAAAATCATGAACATGCATCATAATTACTGCATAAAAGCGATAGATTCTTATGCAAACATTGATTGTCCCCATAAAAATAGTCCCTTTGGCCTTGTCTCAGTCCCCTAAATGGTCCTTAAAATATCAGTACTTCAGCAAGAACATGAATGCTACAGCATAAGTGCTCATGGCTGTCTTAAAATAGCACACTTAGTGCTGACAGTCAGTCCCACAGATCGTATTTGAGTGCAGTGTGAACAGAAATCTGGACATCTACTATGAATCTAGTCTATTAAGCTATTACGAGAAGATGAGCATCATGATCAGCTCTCTGTATTTGATTCACTCTTTATTCTTTAGGTTGGTTTTATCTGAATGTATATCAGTTGTTTTGGTGTTTCGTGTTTTTGTCATTTCGTGTGTGACATGTTTTTGTTTGTGTGTTTTGGCTTTGTTATTTCTGGCTGTTTTTATTGGTTGCCCTCAATGTAAGTTAAAGGAATAGTTCACCCAAAAATCTAAATTTGCTGAAAATGTTCTCACCCTCAGGCCACCCAAGCCTTCTTCATCAGGTTTGGAGAAATGCAGCATTGCATCACTTGCTCCTCTGCAGTGAATGGGTGCCGTCAGAATGAGAGTCCAAACAGCTGATAAAAACATCACAATAATCCACAAGTAATCCACACCACAGTTAAAAACGTCTTAATGCTGGATTAGTTTCAGCTTTTGTCTTCTCCAGATGTGAACTGATGGACTGGAGTGCTGTGGATTACTTGTGGATTATTGTGATGTTTTTATCAGCTGTTTGGACTCTCATTCTGACGGCACCCATTACATTTTTAGCTAATTTTCATTTTTCTGTGAACTATTCCTTTAAAATATGACTATTACAGAATCAGAGCCACAATAGCATTACTTGTTTTAATTCATTATTATAAAACACAGTTTTGTTGTGCATTTCGTATTGTGTAATCTAAGGCCTAAATGATTGCTATGGATATATGCGCAGGTAGAAAGCATTTAGGGCAGCATTATCTGTGTGGTTTATCCATTGCATAAGTATTAAATATGCTAATAGTATAGTGATTTCAGCCAAAGTCATGTACAATACAAGACCATTGCCCTAGATCAAAACAGATCAAAAATACTCTCTAGTATTACAACATGTGATCTTTCTGTTACCAGCCCATAGCTATAACCAATAGGCGACCACAACCTATTATGCAATAAGCAGGATGTCAGTGAGCAAATGAATATATAAATGAATAATCGCAGAGTTGGGGTGAATTTTTGTCTCAGTAACTTGACTCAGTCCTGATTGCAAACATTTTACATTTTAGTATATAAATACAGTCAGTTGTGTGTGTGTCATGTCAGAGTTTATGTACATATTTTGTATGTATATTATCACATACGTTTAGCAGATACTCTTTCGAAGAATAAAAAGATGCTTTTATATATGAAACAGGAAACATAGCTATTTATCGATGATAAAATGCATATAATTTATTTTTTTTTCTTTAACGGATCAGTCTTTAGAAATTTAAGATCAACTTGTTGCTACACATTTATGTTGCTTTGTTATGGAATAGACAGTGTCTGCAGATTTTACCACAATTATTATTCATAATAAACAAACCTAAAACCATTCTACTGTCTTGTCATCTGTGCAGAAGTTTCAGTGCTAAAACTAATGCTTTCATAACTAAATGTTAATATAAACATTTGTATTATATAAAAGTTAACGATAATTGCACAGTAAGTGGGGTTACTCCTGAAGGGGAAAAGTCTAGCAGCATTTATTAATGACAATGTCACCTGAGAAACTACAACTTTGTACTGATCATCTGCATGCTCTCATAAGGCAGATCTTTTGCTCAAGACCACCTACTTCACAGGCCAGCCTGAGGTGATTCCTGGCATAATGTGTGACCTCAGAAGAGAAGAGGAGGGGTCTGGATCTGGGGGCACTGCAGGCAGATGGTGACCTTTTCACAGTAAGTCACTCTGAAACCTGTCACATCCCAGCAGGAGCATTTGGGTCACGGGGCTCCGAGTGAGAACGCAAGGGTTAAAATGTATCACCGTTTCGGCGAATGTGATACACTATTGTCAATAAATAGTTACATTTGATGTTAATAATAAGTGCAATAAACATGTTTTCCTTCCACATGCAGTTCAGAATTATATTTATGTTTTAAAGTTGTGTGTTTATCTGGCTTGCTCATCCATTTAGATACCCAGAGCTCTGTTTTATAAATCCTCTTTCAACATTAGATTGCAATATGATGAGCTGCCTGTATACATAAGTCCATGATGCATGATGATCTAGATAGCATTCAGCTACACAATGGGAGCTTCAGGGACTGTCAACCAATAACACATTCTCATCCAAAACACAAACTAACACTTTACACCAGTGGGTCTTAATCTGATGAGCTGAATCAGGTTTGTCAAACAAGGGAGACATGCGAAATGTGCAGAGCTTACCAGGATTAAGAACCAATGCTTTGCACCATCACCAGTGTGCGCCATTAAAGGGACAGTCACCCGGAAATGAAAATGTGTTGTTAATTTACTCACGTAGGCGACTTTTTTTCTCAGTCGAACAGTAAAGAAGATTTTTTTAGCTGAAACCGAGGTCCTTGGTGATTTATAAAATGCAATTCAGTGTCTACCGGCACTTGAGAGTCAAAAAAAGCAAGAACACGCAAAACAAAATTAATACCCACGGCTCCTGAAGACATTGAGATTGTATGAAGCAAAATGATCCATCTCTGCAAGAAACCGAACATTGTTTATAACATTATTACCTGTAATTACGCAATGACCTAGCGTAGTTTTAACGCAATTATAGGCCTATTATTAAAGCACCCAATAATTATGTGAAACTTGGATGTTTTACATGTCTAAAGCATATAAAGTGGATAAACTAGTCTTCATCAGCGTTCAAGTGCTTGGTTCACGCATGCGCACATCAGTGGCTCATCGGTCTTCGGTCCGAGTCGAACTGTTCCCTCAGCACTGAATCAGTTTTAAAGCATATAAAGTGGATAAACTAGTCTTCATCAGCGTTCAAGTGCTTGGTTCACGCATGCGCACATCAGCGGCTCATCGGTCTTCGGTCCGAGTCGAACTGTTCCCTCAGCACTGAATCAGTTTGTTCATTATAGGATCAGATACGCCGGTATTTTAGCTAATTTTGAGTCGGAGTGAGGCGTCCGTAAGTGTTTTGGTTGAGTAACTTGTATATCTGTGTCCTGTGCTGCTCAAACTGTTTCAGACGGTTCAATCTGATTTGGTGAACTGATTCATTCAGTTTGCTAAAAAGAACCGGTTCAAAAGAATGATTCATTCACGATCCAGCAGAACATTTGCCTGAGGCTCCTCTATTACAAGCAATAATGTTGTAAATAATGTTCATTTTCTTGCACAGACCGATCGTTTCTCTTCATAAGACCTCGATATATCGTTATATATACACGGTTATTAATTTTGCCTTGCCTCTTTATGCTTTTTTTGACTCTCAATGTGCCGGTAGCCACTGACTTGCATTTTATGAATCACCAAGGACCAGCTAAAAATCGTCTTTACTGTTCTACTGGGGGGAAGAGAAAAAAAAACAGTCACCTACATCTTAGATGGCCTTAGGGTGAGTAAATTACAGAATTTTTTTACAGAACATTTGCCTGAGGCTCCTCTATTACAAGCAATAATGTTGTAAATAATGTTCATTTTCTTGCACAGACCGATCGTTTCTCTTCATAAGACCTCGATATATCGTTATATATACACGGTTATTAATTTTGCCTTGCCTCTTTATGCTTTTTTTGACTCTCAATGTGCCGGTAGCCACTGACTTGCATTTTATGAATCACCGAGGACCAGCTAAAAATCGTCTTTACTGTTCTACTGAGGGGAAGAGAAAAAAAAACAGTCACCTACATCTTAGATGGCCTTAGGGTGAGTAAATTACAGAATTTTTTTTATTTTTGGGTGAACTGTCCCTTTAAGGGGCTTGAATTTACGAATTTAAACAAAAAAGGGGGTCTGAAAAGTAAGTATTATTTTTATGTATAACCTACTATAAGTATGTTACAGCGTTTTCAATCAGTGTTTCAGTATCCACGGAAGCTACAAGTCATTCAGAGTGTGCTACTGTAAATGTGCCTCTGCGTAACAGCGCCATCCATGTACTGCATTGATCAAACATGCACAACTTGTGCTTTAACTTATCTTTTCTAATCGTATTGAATGACATGTGAGAGTCTGCGTTGTTTTCAGAGAGCTGTGAGTTGCAGACGTTCCCTGGCCCTTACATCTCGAGCTTGACAAGCGCTCGTGAGAGGGAGACACCGGCGTGACGTCACATCTCAAGCGTTAATTGGAGATGAGGAAAGGAGCAAACACACCCAATCACGCATGTGTTGAGAAAGAATATTTCAAGTGCATTGCTTTAGAGCTTACAAGACAATATATATATACTAATGACGAGAGAGAAATTGGGCGAAACTGTGATTTTACGAGAGAGGTTAAAGAAACAGTGTGTGAGATGCAGTGAGTGACAGCGAGCGCGAGGACCCCTGAGGACGCAGCACGGATCTATAGAGGAGCCACCCGAAGATTGCGAGGAAAAGTCGGCCCTGTAGGTGAGCTGTTTTCAGTCTTCGGAAGTGTGTTTTCCTCTCGTGTGAGCGTGGACCGTTATGCGTTAACGGAGACGGACAAAGCGCTTCAGAGCCTCCGCCGCCGAAACAAAGGATGCGCTCGTTCATTCTAGGCGACACGCGCGCGTTTATTCATAGTGATCTGTGCATTATTCTGGGAATCATATCTGTCTTTGTTCTATTGAACGCGTGAAGATGCCATAATTGTTTTAGTGCATTTATGATAATCGCTGTAATTGCATGCAAACGCACGAGCTTTTGTTTGATTGTTTCTCGTCAGAATTCACAGTTATAATGCACAATTGTGTGTGCATTTATTTATTTATAAAATATTCGGTCGACTATGCCTCTTTTTAATACGGGAAGAACCATATTAAAGTAAGGAAAGATGCACTGTCTTGTAACCTAATGGCTTTTATTGAAGTCAGATATGAATCAAGATAGGTCACACCAATGAGGTCATTTTAATGAGTCTGATTTTGGGGGATAATAACTACACATACAGTATATTTACTTATATATATATACTACAGTATTGGTAACTCTTTACAATATATTAACTGGTTACAATAATAAACATGAATGCACGATACCCAATAGCATTTATTCATCTTGGTTAATATTCATTTGTATATATCCATATTAACATTAAAAACAAGTAGTGTATAAATAAATAGAGTAGAGTTTTAACCGAGATGACTGGTAGCTATATAAATAAAAAGTATTGTTTGTTGTCACTTCATGATAGATAATGCATACCATAGAATAATGCTTTACAGTGAGTTTTTAAATGACATAAAAGCCTCTAAAATGATGCTTGAATTGAAGATCCATTCATTCATTCATTGTTTTGATCACACCCCGCCTCCGCAGGCACCGTCCACACCTCCATCCTCTCTCTCTCTCTCTCTACGCACGTTCATCTCATCCCGACCCAGAGCTCTGACTTTCTCCACATCCTCGACCCAATGAAGGAGCCCGACGCCATCAAACTCTTCATCGGGCAGATCCCGCGCAATCTGGAGGAGAAGGACCTCAAGCCCATCTTTGAGCAGTTCGGCAAGATCTACGAGCTGACTGTGATCAAGGACAAGTACACAGGCGTGCACAAAGGTAAGGAGACGCATGAGTTTACGCTTCAGGAGGGGACGGGGCTGAGCGTTTCTCAGTCACGACTCGCAAGTGAAGAGTGCATTTAAATAAACAGTGCCATTTAACCCTCTCACAGCGGTGTTCATGTGCATGCTCACGCTACTCTGAATGTTACTCATTCTATCGTCTGAAGTGTTTATCACCCGCATACAGGGGCATACAGTGCATTTTCTTATAGTATGCGAGTGTGATTTTTTTTGTCGTGGGTGTGTGTAGAAGACAGTGGCAGCAGCAGCAGCACACGCCTGCAGGAGCTTCAAGCATGACAATGCACAGCATGAGTTCGGTGTTACTATAAAAAGGACATTATATATACACCAGGAAAGCTCTCTCTGTTGTCGTCTTCATGAACTTCGTTTGCTTTCTGTGCCTTGAGGTCGAGTATTAGGTTTCCACTCTGCGGTTTGACTCTGTTTTGGGTGTTTGCTTGCGCTTGTGTCGTTCAGGGTTGAATAAACCCTGTTCGGGGGCTTGACCGGGATTTAATCATGTGGATTTCTCAGTGGTTTAAGGTCACTGGGGTGATTAAAGAAGAAAGACCTTAAGGGAATAGTTCGCCCGTGCATGAAAAATATGCCATTGTTTACTCACTCTCAAATCCGTATGCATTTATTTATTTTGTGGAACACAAAAGGTGAAATTTTGAATAAAATGCATATTTTGGAGAAAATGCCCAGTCTATATCCTTTCCTGTTAAGGCAAGTCAAGAAGTGGTCATCATCATGACTCATGCACTTTAGTCCTCTGAAGTCATATGATGAGTAAGAAGTTAAAATCTTCACTGTGGCTTTCAAATCAGCCGTTAGATGGGTTTGATGTTGAACAGTGCTGGGTAGATTACTTACAAATTGTAGATTGTTACTGATTATAAATGACATGACGGAAATTATAGTTTAAAATGTAATCTGTTGGATTACACATATTATGACTACTGTGCTTTTTGATTACTTTTGACCTAAAATATATTCCATCCCATCATGATTTTCGCCTGCAGGAGCTTCAAGCATGACAATGCACAGCATGAGTTCGGTGTTACTATAAAAAGGACATTATATATACACCAGGAAAGCTCTCTCTGTTGTCGTCTTCATGAACTTCGTTTGCTTTCTGTGCCTTGAGGTCGAGTATTAGGTTTCCACTCTGCGGTTTGACTCTGTTTTGGGTGTTTGCTTGCGCTTGTGTCGTTCAGGGTTGAATAAACCCTGTTCGGGGGCTTGACCGGGATTTAATCATGTGGATTTCTCAGTGGTTTAAGGTCACTGGGGTGATTAAAGAAGAAAGACCTTAAGGGAATAGTTCGCCCGTGCATGAAAAATATGCCATTGTTTACTCACTCTCAAATCCGCATTTCTTTTGTGGAACACAAAAGGTGAAATTTTGAATAAAATGCATATTTTGGAGAAAATGCCCAGTCTATATCCTTTCCTGTTAAGGCAAGTCAAGAAGTGGTCATCATCATGACTCATGCACTTTAGTCCTCTGAAGTCATATGATGAGTAAGAAGTTAAAATCTTCACTGTGGCTTTCAAATCAGCCGTTAGATGGGTTTGATGTTGAACAGTGCTGGGTAGATTACTTACAAATTGTAGATTGTTACTGATTATAAATGACATGACGGAAATTATAGTTTAAAATGTAATCTGTTGGATTACACATATTATGACTACTGTGCTTTTTGATTACTTTTGACCTAAAATATATTCCATCCCATCATGATTTTAACATTGCATTATGCCAGGGATTCATGAATGAACTACAGGGGGTTTGCGAGTTGATGAAAAGCTGGAAAACTTTCCAAATATATAAAAGCGGTAGAATTTTAGAGAGAAAATTAGGGGCAAATCAAATTAGGAATAATTTACCGATTTTAAAATGTAATATACTCTAATTAGAAGTACTTAATTTTTGGAATCTGATTACATAATCCAGATTACATGTAATCAATGGCACTGGCTTCACTGGATGTTTAACAATAATCCAGCCACTAAACACTTTCACTATAAACTCCACGAAGACAAAGACTCGGTTTTTGAAGTTTAATCATGACAAGTGTGAAACCACAAAGAAAAGAAAATACACAAACATAAATTTCACAAGGTAAACAGGAAAACCAACATCAAATAAATGAATGCACAATAAAGGTATAGATAAACACTTTGGAAATGAGCAGAAAATGCCAAACATGCTGAAGCATAAATCAACTGGTACTATACTAACATAATTTTACACAATTATAACATACTCAGAATACAAATAAAAATTACAAGCTCACATCATGATCAAACAATTACTTGCAGACATTACATCTCAGTGGGCTGTGAAAGGCAAGATGGACTTGGATGTTAGAAACCGTGTGAAGCACCTTGCACTGAACACTAAACTAATATGGCCTATTTCCTCTTAAAACAGGAAGCCAGGGCGAGACTAGGAGGAAATTCAGGTCACGGCCCAAAATGAATATCAAAATAAAAGTCATAATAAATTTGAAATATAAAATCCAGCACAATCTGTTTCCACCCATGGGTGCGTTCTATGGTTCTGTCGTTACCAATAGAGTTCAATGGAACTAATGACCATAGTTAGCTAACGATGCTTTTGGGAAACGCAACCCGGCATGAGATGTTAATGAAATTTGGTCACAAAATAGATTAAAAAAAGTCGTCAAGTCGTGTTGGTCAGTTTTCAAGAAATTAGGGCTGGGATACATTACATGACTTTTAAAATCTGAACCGGTTTTAAAACACGACATCAGACACTTGCCAACTTTGTAAATAGTTACAGAGGAAAAACTGTCCATCATACACCTCACACTCCACCAAGTTGTTCAGAACACAATCAACTCGCGCACAAACACATGCCTTATTGCTTGGAGATGACTGACAAATTAAAACAACATGAATATAAATATGAGACATGAATGATATGCACTGTAAAAAAAGAAAAAACTTGTAAAAACATTTACAGAACAAACTGTACATTTTACAGTATACAACTGTAAATTACAAACAAGAAAATTTGAGCGTAATCTAGTAAATTCAACAATGCACACTGCTACTAAAATCTGTTTTGTATCTTTAACATAAATTGACAACCGCCATAATAATGCAGGTGGTAAAAGAGACAGCAATATGAAGAATCAGGCCATCACAAGTAGCTTTTCCACAAGCTGAAGTATATATAGAAGGCACACAGTGTCATTCACGCAAACACTAAACACCATCACGGTAACACACGTCACTAAAATAATGCAATAAACATTCATTAAACAACAGAAGATGTAACATAAACCCACATGTACATAACTGATAACAAACATGACAACACTATTAAGAAACATGGTTATTTAAACAAAATACAAATAAATGAATGCACAATAAAGGTATAGATAAACACTTTGGAAATGAGCAGAAAATGCCAAACATGCTGAAGCATAAATCAACTGGTACTATACTAACATAATTTTACACAATTATAACATACTCAGAATACAAATAAAAATTACAAGCTCACATCATGATCAAACAATTACTTGCAGACATTACATCTCAGTGGGCTGTGAAAGGCAAGATGGACTTGGATGTTAGAAACCGTGTGAAGCACCTTGCACTGAACACTAAACTAATATGGCCTATTTCCTCTTAAAACAGGAAGCCAGGGCGAGACTAGGAGGAAATTCAGGTCACGGCCCAAAATGAATATCAAAATAAAAGTCATAATAAATTTGAAATATAAAATCCAGCACAATCTGTTTCCACCCATGGGTGCGTTCTATGGTTCTGTCGTTACCAATAGAGTTCAATGGAACTAATGACCATAGTTAGCTAACGATGCTTTTGGGAAACGCAACCCGGCATGAGATGTTAATGAAATTTGGTCACAAAATAGATTAAAAAAAGTCGTCAAGTCGTGTTGGTCAGTTTTCAAGAAATTAGGGCTGGGATACATTACATGACTTTTAAAATCTGAACCGGTTTTAAAACACGACATCAGACACTTGCCAACTTTGTAAATAGTTACAGAGGAAAAACTGTCCATCATACACCTCACACTCCACCAAGTTGTTCAGAACACAATCAACTCGCGCACAAACACATGCCTTATTGCTTGGAGATGACTGACAAATTAAAACAACATGAATATAAATATGAGACATGAATGATATGCACTGTAAAAAAAGAAAAAACTTGTAAAAACATTTACAGAACAAACTGTACATTTTACAGTATACAACTGTAAATTACAAACAAGAAAATTTGAGCGTAATCTAGTAAATTCAACAATGCACACTGCTACTAAAATCTGTTTTGTATCTTTAACATAAATTGACAACCGCCATAATAATGCAGGTGGTAAAAGAGACAGCAATATGAAGAATCAGGCCATCACAAGTAGCTTTTCCACAAGTAGTATATATAGTATATATAGAAGGCACACAGTGTCATTCACGCAAACACTAAACACCATCACGGTAACACACGTCACTAAAATAATGCAATAAACATTCATTAAACAACAGAAGATGTAACATAAACCCACATGTACATAACTGATAACAAACATGACAACACTATTAAGAAACATGGTTATTTAAACAAAATACTATCAAATGTGGAGTGTCACGCATGGAATTCTGGGAATATCAGTTTACAGTTTTTTACTGTCAATTATACGTTGATTTGTTCTTTTTTTAATTCTAAAAATGTTACAATTAGCAGCATTTTATTGTAAAATTACATTAAATGGCTGGTTAGATCTTTTACAATTTTTCCCTGTATATAGTACGGGAACTTACTGTTAACCTGTTAACAGTTTTTTTCCCGTAGCGTTTTTACAATATTTTACAGTTAAAATTACACTTTTTTGTTACAGTGTGCTCTGAGTGGATGGAATTATAGTCTGAAGCTAAAAAAAAAACCTGAGACGTGATTTTCTATTAAATCTGTCAACTCAAATCTGCAGACTGGCTTTAACTCTCGCCAACTAGTTTCAGCTTGTCCAAATTATAAATCTGTGCAAAATTCATGTAGTGTATTCCACCCTTTTCTAGTGAATAATGACTTCAAGGGTGACTTTTTGGGTGAAAATTCTGTCATTATTTACTCTCCTTCATGTTGTTCCGAACCCGTACGACTTTCTTTCTTCTGTGGAACATAAAAGAAGATATTCTGAAGAATGCTGGTAGCACACAAGTTGTATGGACTGCTGATATGGTGCCGTGATTCTTGTTTTGTTGTTTTGGAGCTTAACACACTGGTCCCCATTGACTTTCATTATATGGAAAAGAGTAGCTGGGATGTTCTTAAAAAATTCCTCTTTTGTGTTTCATGGAAAATGTAAAGTCATGTGTTTGGAGGAGCATGAGGGTGAGTGAATGATAACAGCGTTTTCAGTTTTTGATGATTATTCCTTTAAGTCAATGAACAGGCTAATATAATCCCTAACACTAACATCTTAACCAGCATACCAGCTCAAACCAGGGTTATTATCGTTTACTAAAAATGAAACCATTTAAAACAATTCCTTTACTTGAAATAAAACAAACATACACTGATATGGAAAAAAAATATATATGAACATATTTTATTTCAGCTAGGCGCCAAGGCAACATTTCTCGTTTTTGTTTAGTTAAAGTTGAAGTACTAAAATAACTCAAACTAACTAAAGCGTTTGTTAACTGGATAACATGTTTAAAAATGACAAAAACACACAACAAAATTAAGGTTTCTTCTGAGCTGCCGTCTGATTTTTTGTAGCTTTGTGTGTGTGTGTGTGTGTGTGTGTGTGTGTGTGTGTGTGTGTGTGTGTGTGTGCATGTTTATGTGACTTACGAGGACACAAATTTGTATAATGACGTGTATTATTACACTGGTATAACAACATAAATGTGTTTTATGAGGACATTTCCTAAATTGTCATAATTAACGTAGCTTTAAAAATGTTTTATTAAAAATGCAAAAATGCAGAAAGTTTTGTGTGAGGGGTAGGTTTAGTGGTAAGGTTACTGTGGGAGTGCAGAACATAAGAATATACAATTTGTACAGTAAAAAAAAAACCTTACATATGGAGAGTCCTCATAAAACATACAAAACGTGTGTGTGTGTGTGTGTGTGTGTGAGTTCAGGATGAGCTATCCCAGAAGCCCCACTGACAAAATGTAATGAGTGTGAAATTACATTTCTGTCACTCATCATGTGTAATCATGCTGCATATAATCTATATGAAGTACAGGAAAAAAACATTGATTCAAAAAGTGAATTTCAATTTAAAATGTAGGTAATTACTACATATGACTGATAATAATAATTTTGCATTAATGACAATTATTTGTATTTATATAAGAAAAATAACATACTGTATATAAACTGTCAATGAATACTAATAGTGTGTCTTTCTGTCTTAGGATGTGCCTTTCTGACGTATTGTGCACGGGAGTCAGCCGTTAAAGCACAAAGTGCTCTTCATGAACAGAAAACCCTGCCAGGGGTGAGTCCTTTCTGAGTGTGTGTAAGTGTGTGTGTGAGTGTGTGTGAGTGTGAGTGTGTGTGTGTGTGAGTGTGTGTGAGTGTGTGTGTGTGTGAGTGTGTGTGTGTGGAGGGCATAACAGGGGTCTCACACTGTTTTATCCCCTTTCATATCCTGCCATCTCTGTGTGTGTGTGTGTGTGTGTGTGTGTGTGAGTGTGGGATGAGCTATCCCAGAAGCCCCACTGACAAAATGTAATGAGTGTGAAATTACATTTCTGTCACTCATCATGTGTAATCATGCTGCATATAATCTATATGAAGTACAGGAAAAAAACATTGATTCAAAAAGTGAATTTCAATTTAAAATGTAGGTAATTACTACATATGACTGATAATAATAATTTTGCATTAATGACAATTATTTGTATTTATATAAGAAAAATAACATACTGTATATAAACTGTCAATGAATACTAATAGTGTGTCTTTCTGTCTTAGGATGTGCCTTTCTGACGTATTGTGCACGGGAGTCAGCCGTTAAAGCACAAAGTGCTCTTCATGAACAGAAAACCCTGCCAGGGGTGAGTCCTTTCTGAGTGTGTGTAAGTGTGTGTGTGAGTGTGTGTGAGTGTG